AGTAGTAGTAGTAGTAGTAGTAGTAGTAGTAGTAGTAGTAGTAGTAGTAGTAGCAGTTACGTAATCGTAGCAGTAGTAGTAGCAGCAGCAGCAGGCAGACAGACAGACAGACAGACAGAAAGACAGACAGACAGACAGACAGAATTCATCACTCGTTTCATCACTCTCCCTTCCTTCCTCCCCCCACCCCCACCCCCCAGACCAAAGCGTTCCTGGTGTGGGTGCTCGCTGTTGCCGTGGCCCTCTTCCTCCTCTTCATCAACCACAACCAGTGGCGGGAGAGGGGTGACCACTGGTCAAGGGGAGTCCAGTCCACCTACGAGGCTCTGGTCCGGCCTGTGTGGGCCACGTGTGTGGCCTGGGTCATCTACGCCTGCTGCAACGGACTTGGAGGTACTGGTAGTAGTTAGACTATCACCATAATATAATACTATAATATTTTTTACTAGCTGTGCTCCCTTTCGATTAAAGGAATGATCGGTGCATTAACACCAACTGGAAGTCATTGGCCTACTATACTTACATTCTACTGGAATGGAGCAATAAATCTTGAAAGATGCAAAAAATTAGGTCTAGATTACTCTAGATCTATACTCTTTAAACAAAATGTGCCTCTCGAAATATCACTTCCGCACCTCCGCTGTGAAGGACAGCTATGCAGATTTGTTTCGTTTCTCGGTGGAATAATCACAAAGGCCAAAGAAGGACGGGAAGTTTTGTCAAATATTGTTTATAAATTCGGGAAATAAACAAATAAAAAATCGGGCTCCGTCATGGGGACCTGTCTATCTTTTTGCAGGTGCTTGCCGACTTTCAACTCTGTAGCTGTCGTAGTTTATTGGGAAAAGTGACAAATGTGTTTCCAAGTTGCCAAATATATAATAGATGACGGACTCTGAGGTATTCATAGTAGTAGGCGGTAAACTTATAGAAAAACTCTAACATAATATATAATAATATCATATAGCAGACTTTGAGGTGCTTGAAGTCGTAGGCTATAAACATAGTATTTATTATCACCATAATATTATATTATATATTATATAACGAACTCGGGGGGTACTGATAGTGGTAGGCTGGAAACATAATATTATAGAATACAATACAATGACGTATATATAATATATTATATAACGCACTCGTAACCTTATAGAAAATAACCATGATATATTATAT